TCCAAGGCTCGGGCCCGGACTGTCATTTAGAGGAACATGAATAGGAAGCATTTTTTCTGCAGAACAGTGAGTGTTTTGGGCTTGGGGAAAGAAGGGCTGTGTTTAAATGTATCGAACATAAAATGAAATGTTAACCACTTGAGTTTAATAAATCTGCAGCAATGATCTGTTTGAACCTGGTAAGAGCCCTGAGGACAACACGCTGCTATCTCACAAGCTGCTGGCCTTTTCCTTTCCTCTGTGTGTGTGTGTGTGTGTGTGTGTGTGTGTGTGTGTGTGATGGGGAAACAAGGAGCCAACGAGCTTGCATAAGAGATGTGGTGAAAAATGAGTACCAGGAGGAAGGTGCTATGTGCTATGAAGGTTGGAGGATTTCCAAGTGGCCAAAGTGTTGGGGTAAATTTGGAGGCTCAATGTTGTCCTCTGTGTAAGTGCCCTACATTTGAGTCCTGAAGACACTCACATTTTGCCGAAAAACTTTCTCAAATATTATTGTTGAGCAAGCTGTTAGTATGAGATATGTCTAAAATTCCTGGTTGTAGAAAACGTCATGTTCTCTAGCAGGGATTTACTTTGCCTTGAGAGGGATAGATTTTGATGTTCTCTCTCACCTGCATTGCATGTTTTGGCCTTGTTCCATTTCTGAGAAGGTGTTTGGTATTGTTCCATCTAGTCTATTACCCTCTCCTAGTCTACCCTCCCAAACCCATCTTTCTCTGAAAGTAAATGATGGGGGAAGGGGTCAGGTGCATGTATAATCCTCATGCCTGGCTCCTGCATAACCTGTCTGAAACAAAGTGGGCTGTATTCTGTCATTCTTTTTACAGCACATGCAAAGTAATGCAGTCTTGGGGACTTCTTACCTTGGCATATTATTGAATCTCATTTTATTATTTGTCACAGAATTTGTATTTACCTCTGGCTGCTTGATCTTTCTTATTGAGCCCTTTCCACAGCCCTCCCTTAATACCAATTTGATCTCCTTTTTTTGCTTTGAGTTTATAAATTAATCCAGTAACTGCTATGGGCTTCTCCCTCTGTTTTTCTCTCTCTTTAGTAGGGTGAGGGATTTTTTTCCCCTCTGAGAGAGTTTTTGTTCCTTTTGGCTGCAAAATAAAATCCTTTGATTCTATGTGACAAACAGGGACACGTTTCCTTTCTAGTAGAGATTAAAGACATCCGGCTACTCCAGTGATTACATCCTGAGTAGAAGGTGAGGGAAGTGTCTCACTGACTTCACCACCTTCTCCAGACAGTGCCAGCTGAATTGGTTGTACAGAGGGATTTTCAGCAGTAGCAGGATACAATACTCCTCCTCATGAACTACGAATCTGAGATGCACAAATCATAAGTTCTTTCTCTTGCTGGCTTGTCTCCATCATGGGTTTATGACTCTGATGCATGGTAGACATATCTGAGATATCCCAAAGCTTTTCTGCTCTGGTACTGGCTCCTACATGTGACAGTGTGGAGTGTCATGCTAGCTGAAAAATCAACCCCACAGCTGCAGTTGACAGATCTGTAATTAGCTGGCATGGGTCTAAAAAACAAGGTAAAAATCTTCTTTCTCTTCCCCAGTGCTGCTTAGAGGGATCTAAAACTAGGTAAGAGAAAATATCTGCACATGAATGTTGAGGAAAACTTACCTTTAAAAGGTAATGAATTAATTGTAGCTACTGATGTTGATATTTCTAAGTATTAGGCATTGATCTTTCTCCTCTCTCTCTCTCTCTGCAACAGAAAGGTTTTTTTTTTGTTTTCTTTTGTTTTGTTTATTTTTAGAGAAAAAAAAAATCTCAAAGAACATGTCTAGAAAATTGTAGCCTAAAATCAGATATTGTGGAACTGATAGTGATAGGGTTAGGGTTGTGGCTGGACTGGATGATCTTGGAGATTTTTCTCAACCTTTAGGCTGCTGTGATCTCTGACTGCAGTGACTGCTGCCCTCCCTGCTGTTTGAGTGAGATTTCCACTGGCCTCCGTCTCTGCTGTTTCTCAGGATGGTTTATGCTGGTGTCAAGTTCTGTGCAGAGGAATGTGATGATTACAGTTGACTCGGGACACACTGCTGGAGAAGATTTTCTTAGGAGTACAGAATAAGTTTAAAGCATTATTATTTTGATTGTGATCCTCAACATCAATAGTCTAGACAAAGCATAAACTCTGGATCTAAAAATACCCTTAAAAATTAGCTGGTCTGTTCACAACCCATTTCTTACCTCATCCAGCAGCTATTTATGAAAACATTTTCTATTCTTTCTAATTTTAAATAGCAAGCACTAGCAGTTGAATACTCATTTATTAGATTGTTATCCCCTCCGTCTCGTTGCTGTCAAGTAACTTTGTACCCAGCCAAAAATGACATGTTGAAACAAGTAGTGTATATTTAATGCAATGTACTGGGGAGAAAAAAAAAAAAAAGAAAAAAAGAAAAAAAAAAAGGGAAACAAAGGAAACAAAAAAAAAGAAGAAGACTGATTGGAAGTTTGAAATACAGTAGCTGGACTGAGAAGTGAATGTGCTCATGAAGAGGGTGTTGGGTTTTAAGTAAACTTCTTAATGCATGGCTTAGTCACAGGCTTTTTCCCTGCTTGTTATTGCCGTACTTGCCTGCCAGTCGCATCTGATAGAAGGATTGCTGGGGGCAGGGTGCCTGGCATCGTGTGGCAAAAACCGCTTGTTGTTGACTTGTGTGCATGTGTGCCGCTGCTCTCCGCTGAAATAAATGTCAGATGTGCTCAGGAGTGTGGGTGGGTGCGGAGATGTGATTTGGCTCTCCCTGGTTGCCTTGTCAAGGAGTGCACTAATACAGCTAATGGAGTTCCTCGGGCTCCAGAGGAGAAGGGCATTCAGTTGACAGCCACCATCCAAACAGTCACAAAAGATAGCTTCATACGGCAGTGGAGGCTGTTTGGATTAAAAAGAAACTTTTTCAAAGGCAAGGAGTAATAAAGGGTATTTTGAAATTGCAGCTTGCAGTTTGCAGGCTCCTTTTTTGCCTGACTTAGCAAGATGGATACAGAACAAATGAAAGCGAGGTTATACCTGTGGAATTTCTAACCTTTAAAGACGCTTGTTTAGGTACTGAATTTATTCTGAGATAGTTTTCACTAGAGACAAAGTTTGCTTTCTTAACCTCTACTAAAAGAAAAGGTTCTGTTTTCACTACAGCAGCTTTCACAGCACTTGTGTCTCTGGGTTTTTCTGTGGTCATTGTACAGCTGAGCTCACATGGTCCTCTGGAAAATACAGAATTAGCTTTCTGAATGAAAGTATCAGATGGCCACAAAAATGAAAGACGGAGGAATCTAAGTAAATACTAGAACCATCAGCCCTCAAATCAAGTCAAACATTGCATCACATTCTACTAGAAAAAAAAAAAAAAAGTTGGGTTAAGAAGAATGTTAATTTTGTGGTCAATACCAACAACACTATGGTGTGGTCCCCACTGTAGGCTTTTGCTGGAGGTGCTCATTCCTGGAGAGGGAAAATGTAACCATCAAAAACGCAGCTTATTGGGAGATGTGATTTGGCAAAAAACCAAATTGTTGAATATAATGATTTTAGGAGGGAATTTGGCAGGGTTTTGTAATATAAAATATATTATTGAATTTTTAGCTGAGGAAGAGATTCTTTGTCTCAGCTAGTAGCTCTCTAGTGAACCAGTGACCCCTTCATCATTTAGACATAGTAATTTGTTTTGTTTGCCTTTTTAATTTCTACCAGGTGAATAACTAACATTGTCGATAGGCACACAGTTTTATAACTCTTCTAAGTTTTTTATCTCTTAAAAAGTTTCTTATCCTCATGTTTCTGGGTGAGTTTAATTCTGGCTCCCCGCACAATCCTTATAAACAGATATTCATACCATCCATTTTTGTATCTAAGAATTTGTGAAACAACATTCCTTTCTCTGACCTGATGTCATTATTACAAAGAACTTAGTGGATTGTATGATGCAAATAAAATAAATCAGGTACTGCAGTGACCCACATACTCATTATTTATTTATGGAAACAAATACATTTAGAATTTATTAATATTGTTTCTTCCATTGCAAATGCTGTAAACTTTCACTTACTCAGAACTCTGCTGGGAAAATAGCATTATTGCCACCATTCTGCACATTAGGAGACCTTGCCAGGAAGACTTCAGTAACTGCTCTAGGCTATGTAACATATAATTATCAGAACTAAGATTAGATGCTGGGAGTCTTGACTCGGAGCGTTGTGTTAAGACATCCCTCACCTGTCAGATACAATCTGTAGATAACTAAGACTGAGGGGTGATAAGGACAGGGTGATCATAGAACAACTTGGTCATAGATCGCCTATATGCATTAAGTGTTTTAAGTCTAGCCAGAAGCACAGGAGGAGACAGAACATGTTCACTGCCCTATAGAGCATCCTCACTGTGGGGAGGTGTCACAGAGTGAAATATTCTTGTAAGAGCTTCCAGTGAGAGGTCTAGCAAAAAGGGGAATGTGTGAAGCAGTATTTGGCTTTGAAAATAGAGAAATAATGAGTAGATTTAACAGGTAGATTTTTTTCTCTTTGATCTTTAGCATCAATATTTGGTCATGTGTCAGGTAGGGGAAAGAGGCTACAGAAAAGATCTGAAGGCTACTGAGAAAACAAAAAGATGGAGCTGTTGGAAATGTTTTCCTGTTGTCAGAACATTGAATTATGACTTTCTTTTAACTTGGCTTTTCACAATTTGTGTGCTTTTGCTCATTATTCTGATGAAGAGTTTGGGCAGGTGGTGTTTCTTCAGGTCTGTGGGACTGGGCTCTGCACTGCGTCCTTGTGCTTGTCTAAACTCTCTCGTTTGTGTTCTAGATTAATATTCACTATGACACTGCTCTTCCTCTTGATGTTCAGTTGGGAAAAGAGGAGAAACAGTGCTCTCCTAAGGCAGAGAAGGCGTGACAGGGTCATGCCTGGTGGTTGCAGCCCGTGTGCTGGGCCCTCATCCCTAACTCTGTGTCCTTATTCTTCCAGGCCGGCTCTCGCGTTCCCCCTGAGCCGCAGCCGCCCTCCGCCGCCATGTCACGGCACCACAGCCGCTTCGAGAGAGATTACCGGGCCGGCTGGGAGCGCCGGGACTGGAGCTCCAACGGGAACCATGTGGGCAGCACCAGCTGCAGCAGCGCCGCCAGCACCACCAGCAGCTCCCGGCCCGGGCTGCTGCCCCTGCCCATCGTCCCCTCGCGCCTCCCCACCCCGGCCACCGCCGCCTGCACCACCGGCAGCAGCGAGGTCATCACCAGCCTGGTGGCCAACTCCTCCCCAGCTTCCAGTACCAAAGTAAGAATTATGATTTTTTTCTCCTTTTTTTTTTTTTGTTTGTTTTTTCTTTTTTTGGTTTTTTTTTTTTTAATTTTTTTAACGTGATTGATATGTTGAGAGGGTGTTAGAGATGAAGCGTCCTCTGTCCCTTTATAAGGCTTGCGTTCATGGGGATAGCCAAGAGTAGGAAAATGAATTTATATGGGCAGTCTGTGTATTTTTAATTCTTTTCTGTGTTGTGCATGTGCAACACAGAAAAGAAGTAAAGGTCTTTCTTGCTCCAAGATTGCATGTCTCTATGGTTCTGAGAGGCCCAGGCAGAGCAAAGGTTTCCCTCCTTTCACCACTGCCTACCTTTGGGCTTTCTGTCACTTTCCCTGGGACTTACTGCTCCCATTTTTCTTTTGGGAATGCTCTTTTTGTCTGTTGACCAAGGCAGAGCTGTGGTTGACAGCAACTGGAAGTGGTTCTCATCCAGAGGCAGTGGAAAGTGACTAAAGGTCATAATTTTGGCTGAATGGTGTTTTTCTTTCTTTTTAGTTGATAGTTTCCTGTAAGGTTCTCAAAGCCTTATTCTTAGTTCACGTTGGAGTGAAACTGTGGAACTCCTATAACCATCCTCACTCATTTGTGCAAAAATGCACACTAAGGAGTGAGACAATATTACGCACCAAAGAATAGAAGTCACTAGTAAACTATTGGGCTTTTTTGTTCCAATATATTATTGGAGGGAAGAGGGTGAGTTTTCCTTTAAAAAAATAGGTCTTGTAGAACAGCAAAGAACATTTAATATTCGTGGAGAAAGATGGGGTTTCTTTTTGCATACAGATTCAGGTAGAACAGCTGGGAACAGAACAACCTGGCAAATGGTAAAGGTGACCACAGCGCTGGCAAAGTGAGACAGAAGCGCTGCTGGGTTTCTTTTTATGATATTTAACATTTTCTTTCAACTTGGTTTCATTTTAATAACTGAAAGTGCCAAATGCAGCAGATGTAGACAGAGGGAAATGAGACAATGAAGTTATTTTATTTAAAGTAGGCCAAGAGCAAGCTGAAATTTTGCTGCAGTACCATTATTATATTGATTTTTTTCACATTTTAGAAAAACAAGGTCAGTGCTACAGAAGGAAACATTAGCCTAAAGTGTGGTTGTAAAAATTTGCCATGGCATCTTAAAATTATTATCATTTGGAAGAAGCCTTTAGATTCTGATCAAAACATTTTTAGTGTCCTCCAGATGCTATCCAGTGATAGATGCATTTCAATCATGCTTTGTCTGGAGATGATTGAAGCAATTTTGGAGCCAAAGCAGTGGTTTCATTTATCATGACCTTTGTTCCTGGGTCTGCTTAGAGTCCAGCAATTGTCTGGAGCTGATCAGCCCTTTTCCCAGATGTTCAAAACAATTTTGAAGCTTATCAGTGCTAGTAAACCATGTGTTTATTGGGGGAGAGGAGGCAGGAACAGCAAGTTAAGTGCCTTTTGATCATATGCTAGATGTGAACTGTCTTCTAAATTACCTTATTAGACAATTTTCTGATGACTTTCATTAGTAAGAATGTTTTGGCATGAATAGATCAAAAGCAATAAATAGACAAGAATGGAGGTAACAGGAGACACTTTTGATTCTGAGAACTGTTAATCAGCTGTGTAATCTCCCATAAAATAAGTGTGTAAAAATGCATAGAGTTTTTGCCCCAGCTTTTTCTGCTGTGAATCAACTAAGCAGCTCTAACTAAAAATTCAAACTTGCATGTATTAAAGAGGAAAAAACTGTGAAGAGGTGATAGAGGTAGGTAGGTAGGGTAAACAGAGATGTAAGTGTATGGTGCTTAGCAAGCTTCTAACTAATAATGTGAAATGGTGTCATAAAAAACATCAGGTGCTCATACACACTGCTGTTCACCCTGCCTGCCTCTCTCTCTCTCTCTCTCTCTCCCCCTCACACACAGCAGACTTACACTTGTGGTCAGCAGTGTAACCAGCCAAGGCTTTATCCTGGTAGAATCCAGCTTATGGCTAGGCATAAAAAAATTTCATCCATATATTGAAGAGATCGCAAGTTAGAAAAACAATGTGGTTACTCGCTTTCTTTTAAAAATAAAAACATTAAAATATAACAATACTTTAAAAACAAACTAAGCATGTGCTAACTTGCCTTGAGCTGTGGAGAGATCACGGCCTGCCTACCTTTTACAGCCAATTGTGTCAGCATGTTTATGGGGATACCGTGTGGGGGATAGGTGACATCTAACAGCTGAATTTGTTAGTTCTGTTTTGGGAGTGAGATATTTGATTGCTAAGCTGCCCTTCTGTAGGCTGAACCTCCCCCAGCATTATGGCAGGTCATTAAACTCTGGCGAGGGTGTGCCCCACACAAGAGGTGAGCAGTGGATGAGGCGTCAGGAAGCAAGAAGATTGGTAGTCTGGCTCTCCTTGTCTTATTGACCAAGGAGGTAAGTACAGCCACCAGTGCTGCCCCAGGCTGAGGTCAGAAGGGAGGGACTCTTTCTCCCATCCAGTTACCAGTTTTGACTTCAGCATATCTTCCAGAGCTGGTTTGGTGACCTTTAACTACAGAGAGCTACCGTCTGTAGCCCTTCAGACTGGGTTCCTTCTTGCTCGTTATCCTCCCAGTTAAAAGTTTGCTTCATTTTTTTTGTAAATCATCTAGTCTGTCCTCAGTCCTTTGGTCCTTGGTTCCGCTCATTTCCTGCTATTGACCAGTTTTTGTAGCCTCCAAATAACCCTGCATCTTTTGCATCCCCGTCCCTTCTTTATTTCCTTTGAAAATATGGGTGCTAAAACTTAGATACCCAAACCATATGCATCCTTTCAGCAGCAGACTCACCATTCCCTTGCATGGGGATAAGACTGCTCCCTCCCTCTGTTTCCATGTCTGTATAGCTAATAATTGCTGCAGACTTTTTTGCCAAAGTGCTAAATCAGTAGTTATTAAAAATGCGTATATACTTGCCATCGTCCTCAGTTATGAGTTATCGAACAGCCATAGTTTTGTCAAAGGCTGAAGTGAACTCTGTTTCACAGGATCTGTCTTCTGAGTACCTGTATAGTCAGATATTGGTCATATTCCCATCCTTCAGCTCAAGGTTAACTAAATCCTAAAGTGTCAAATTCAAAATGGGTGAAAAACTTCTTTTCTCTCTGACATGTAACTGGACTGTATGACTTGCAGCATGATGGAATTGTTCAGGGAATTTATAGATAAATAGTTTTAAGGACCACTAGTCTACCTAATCTGGCTGAACCATGGTCTTTAAAATTATGTAAATGTATGTAAGATTAAAGACTTTGTCAGACTTACATGATATGAATAGAAAAAGCATTGGAAAGGAGAGAAAAAAATGCAACCATCATCGGAGGAAGCTTAGGATATGTAAGACTAGCTGTGAGGGGGTTGCGTTTGGTCTATATTTTCATGCTTCTGGAAGAGCTTTTTACTACCTGTAGAGGACTTTAGAAGGTTTTTATTACTAATTATTAATGTGTAGGAGAACTTCAGAACTATTTATGCTTTGCAGACCTTTGAAATTTATTCTCAAAGCATACCTGTAACCTTCTGGCCACAGATGCATTGTACAAATCACACTTAGTGGATCTGCCACCTTTAAGTGGTTATGGATGTTTGGTCTGAGTTATTTAAACAGAAAAGCTGTCTTTTCCCAAGCTTTTTTGCTGAACAAAATGAAGCTTTGAACTGCTGTAACCCATTTCATTGGAGGCTGCCAGAAAATACCAGAAAAACTTTAAACTTCAACAACCTGTAAGAAATAGTTTGATGCTGCACACCCAGTATATTGACAGGGAAAGTGAGACACTCAGAGGTAGTGATTTTTGAGTTTTCTGCTCATTCAGTGCCACTGTGAGCAAAGTTTCAAATCTTTTATTCAATTTGGTTTTTCTACCCTGATTCTCTGCCCAAAGGGTTGGGCCACATACTGGCACCCAAAGGCAGCACAGTTCAGAGGGATGAGTCCTCTGCTGGAGATATTTCCTCAACCCCTCTACTAGCAGTCCATAGGAAAGTGGAAATCTTGGCAATAATCTCTGTGTTTGGATCAATGTGTCAGACTCTGAGCACAGTTGTGTATGATGATTGAGTTCAGGGCAGGTTCTGTACATGGTGAGGTTTTGGGGTTTTTTTTCCGTAGTGAGGTTATTTATTGGTCGAAGGAAGTTATCCAAGAAATCCTTATAAGACTACAGCGCTGCTTAAGATACTGGCAGCAAAACAGAAATTCATTTAAGGATGCTGCACACCATTCCAGCTATGTTTTCTGTTCATCTCAGCAGCACCTTCATTCTTTGTTGCTTTTCCGAATTACTTTGCGAGTTACTTGTACAATTTTCTCCATCAAAGCTCCTGTATCACAGCTTCAATTTAGAAGTGTTGTCATGGGCTGTAATTTGAAATTTTATTACCAAGAGATTTTTTGGTTATAGAACATTTACTTTTATCATCTCTATATTATTTTTAAATGCCTGAAAAGATTGATACATCAACAGAATCTGTGCACCACCAGGCGAGATCTAATTTTTTTTCCAACCTTAATTTTAAAAACCCTTTGCTTGGAACATAAATTGATTCTTCAACCCCCCAACACTTAATGATTTGTTATTCTCAAGGTTAAACCTATGACAAATTTTGCAAAAACACCAGTCTTCAGTTTTGATAAAATTTTCTCTAGTTGAGCTCAGGGATAGCTGTGCAGTTTTAAGTCTTTAAATAGCGTAACTGAGGCGTGGTTGTGGCCTCCTGTTCTCACAGTACTCCTTTAGCATTTAAGACTTGTGTGTTTTTGCTACCAGAGTATATCCCACTGTGGTTAGCCACAGGTTATGGTGTGGGAGGAAGACAGTGATGATCAAACATTTGTTAACCTCTCTGGAAAGTCAGGCAAGGATAGCAGATGAAGAAGTAGCCACTGCTGACTTTGTACGTCACTGCAATTAAATAGCATTAAAAAACAAGTGGGGAGGGAAAAAAAATTCTTATG